AGGGAAACGTTCCCATTGTGTTTTATTAGGTTGAAGCAGCAGCTGTGGTGATTACAGAAACTTCTGTTTCACCATGTCCTCCATCAAACTCTCTCTTTTAAACGTGCAGCCCATCATGGTGTCTTCAATAAAGAGCTGGAGCACAGAGATACTGAGTTTATGTGCAGCTTTGAAGCTTCAGGGGAATAACCGAGCATCAGGATCCATGATGAAATTCAAACCAGAGACGTCAGCACAAACTCACTTCGGGTATTCGTTCAGCCCTCAGTGCCTCAGAACGACACCGAGCACGAGAACAGATGTGTCTTTAAGCCCAACAGGGATTTGAAGTCCCATCATGCACCACCGATATTGGTATTTTACATGAATGTGACGCCCCCCTCCACCCCGTCTCCTCCTCTCTGCTGAGGATAAATTCTGGGCTTTGAGAAAACCGAATCAATACGCCACAGCAGAGCAGAGGTTTCACTTCCCTGTGAAATGGAAACCTCACCCTGGAGGTATCTGTGTGTGTGTGTGTGTGTGTGTGTGTGTGTGTGTGTGTGTGTGTGTGTGTGTGTGTGAGAGAGAGAGAGAGAGAGAGAGAAACTGAGGTCAAATATTCAAGGTTGCTTTTCTGTCTTTTAATGATCTGTTGAGATGAACGAATGAGTTAATGAAGTGTTTCTACTGGGCCGAGCAGCCAGGTGCAGTCGGGCTGGGAGGTTTATTAGATTCATTTGAGTTTGTCATCATACGATTGCACGTTGTGAAAACTGATCTACAATACTTTAGTCACTGTGAAGCTCATCCACATTAAATCTAAGCAGACGTGGTGGTTGGTCGGTTGGGAGCTGGGAGCTGATTTGGCCTCTAGCTCTGTTCAGATCGTCTGTCGATCGCTTGGTGCTGCTGACTCGAGTCTCTGCACCGTGAAAGGGTTAAAGAATGTGCAGCGTGTTGCAGGCCTCAGAGCAGCAGAGAGAGGATGAGGTGTTGACGTCTGTCTCTCCTGGGTCAGGACTGCAGTAAAGGGACGGGAGGGGTTAGAGAACAAGCCCAGGGGGTAGGGGGCCAGGGGCCAGGCGGCCGTGAATTATGTGCATTTCAAATCCATGTTTCTGTTGTAAAATGTATGAGGGCGAGGAACCTGAACACAACACGGCCGAGGTCGGAAACACTGAGAGACACATCAGCAGCAGCCAGCGCCTCGCTCCTCAGATAACACACACACTCGGAAGCTTGTCTTCTTTGGCCTTAGCTCAGCAGACACAGGCATTTGCATTTATGTTTGTCTCCAGCTGGAGATTTAAAGATGTTTAGAGTAATCCCAAACTGCCTGGGTATTAAAAATGTGGCTTTGTGAAACCTATGACAGGAAACGACACACTCACCTCTCTCTCTCTCTCACACACACACACACACACCATCACAGTCGCTCAGCAGGGTTGTTGGCCTCCAGGCTCCGAGCTGCTGATGGATGTTGCTGCTGGTTGGACTTAATTAGCCATGAACGGCCTGCAGCGGGCGGCTCGCCCTCCACCGCCACAGGGCCGCTGGACAGGCTTCATTAACATGGACTTGGCGATTTGAAGGTAACATGTGCTAGAGGTCAAAACTGGGGCTGACTTAGTTCAAAGACAGTTTTCAGACATCTATACAGTGTTGTTGGAACACCGGGCTGTTTTTGATTTCCCAGCCTTTACCACTATATGTCTTAACTGGGTGTGACATCACTAGTTTAGGGCAGTACAGGTCAAACTCAGGACCTGGTGTCTCTCAGCTCAGTTTTGTGAGTTTGTTGACAGTTTTGAGAGAACCATGGTAAAACGTGTGGTCCTGGGTCACACTGTGACACAGACTGCAGCTCTGTAGTACAGTTCAACAGCACTACAAAATGATCACACAGCTGAATCGACACCTCTGACACAGTTTGAACACAACCTGAACATCGTCACCTTCTGCTGGATGAGTTTGAGACAGGTGTCTGACAACCTAGTGTACACCCATCACAGTCTGACACACACTGAGATGTTATTAGGCCCAATTAATGTCAAAAAACGCTCGGCCTTGTCCCCAGTAGGACCCAGAACATGTATAGCACAGTACCCAGTCGCCCACCTGGAGGCCCAGGCGCACAGTCGGCTGGAACTGTTGAAGATTAAGCCCATATGTTCCAAAGTAGTTTGACTTGGATCCATCCCAGTATTTCCAAACCTCAGCTCTGGTGAAAACCAGGCAAAAACAGCAGGGTTCAAAGCGTTAAACCTCTTTATTGAAAAGGGGACTGAGAGAAAACTCAGCCTTGGATGAAAAACCAATTTAGTTTTTCTTCTAAACTGGGACAACCTCAGTTTGGGGATTTTCAATTCAAACATGTCAAAGCATCAGTAACTTAAACCCTGAAAGGAAAATGACATTTTGAGTGCAACATTTGAAGCCTTTTCCACTGTGTGTTACATCCTAACGATGAGTTTGAGGATTTTCTCCAGCCCTGAACACAAAGCTGAGGCTACCAGCTGGGCAAAGCTGGCGAAAAGCCTCTGCTTCATTTCATATAAACTGGTTGTCAGAGCAGTTTTGGTCCAGATAAATGCTGTGTCCCTGGTTCTGTCCAGGTTCTGTCCAACGGCAGTGTGTCAAAGTTTTAATTGCCACGTGTCTTCTTTGTTTGCTAGTTTGTACTCTGCTCATGTGTAAATGTGTTCAAAGTAGTTAATATAGAGACAATCGGGAGGAAAGTATTATTATTATTATTATTATTGTGAGTCTGCAACTCAAAACGATTTGTATTATCTGTTTATTAGCTGGACGATTCACCAAACGCCACCATGATGTCTCCACGTCTTGTTTTGTCCAAAACCCAAAGATATTCAGTTTACTCCATCTTAATCAAAAAAATGTGCACATGAATTGAGAAGTTTTACATTTTTGCTGCTTTAACTTTAAAACAACAATATGATTGATGTATTATTGAATTTTCCAGTTCATTTCCTGTTGACCAGTGAAACTGACTGATCTCTGTAAGGTAATGTAATATCTGACGGGGATCGAGACCCATTTTGCCCCGGGCCCTACTGAGGTTAGTCCAGCCGTGCTTGCACAATACGTTTTAGTTTCTTAAACCTGAGCCATAGTTGTCCCGGTTGTCCGTCTCCCAGCCGGAGCTGCACATCTCCAGCTGTGCTCCAGAGTCTTTGTGGCCGGCTGTAACTGGAGCCATTTTTAGGAGTAGGGGAGGTCCGCAAACAGCAATTAGAGACCATTACATGGCTCTTCAAAGGCCCCTCGTCTGTGGTCTGTGACACGACGCGCAGCGGCGGGAACCTTCAGCTTTTATCTCAAAGAAAATGTGGATAATTTAAGTTGGCTGCACATTTGAGTCGTGGAGGCCTGTTATTACCAGTCATGACGTGACTCCCTCCACAAACCACCGGTTCCGTGTGTGTCTACTGTTGTTCATACTTCTGGTTTTTGTCATCCAGTCTGCTGCCAGATAACACTTTGTAACCAGTGTCCATAAGTCACATCATGACATTTTAGGAACTGATCAGTAAGAAAACTTCAAAGAACAAAACGGATGGATGAGCGACAAGTCTCAGGGGAAGCTTTGCAGCAGGATGCAACTTTAAAAAACAGGCCCTTTGTGAACTCTTCCTCAGAAACCTGTGTCTCAGAAATAAATAAAGAAATTATCTGAAGTTTGGGGGTGAGACCTGACCTGTGCCAAGTACACACCTGGTTTAGACTACAGCAGGATTTTGGTCTGAAATCACTGTGAACTGGTTCTGTAGTAAACCAGACCGGAATGTTTCTCTGAGCCTGAACCAGTTTCACACCGCCGTGGTCTCTACAGGCAGATGCTGTGTTGACGTGGTCACTGACATGTGCAGTATTTGCAGTTTACCTAACGCCTAACGTTTCCTCAGTATGTTAATGACAGCTGCTCTGGTGGCGTTACACAAACTCATCAGCGTGACCTGATGCCTCTGCCGTTCTTCACAACTGAAAGGTCGAAAGAACAAATGACGTTGTCGTGGCAAGAGTGTGATACCGACTAAATTAATTCAGACAAACCATTACAATTCAAAGGATCATTTAATATTACAGTTATTCTGAATAGAGTAGTATTTAAACAGATAATCTTGTAGTTAGGGAACAGAGAACAGAGAACAGAGACTCTCCTCTGGCAATGGAATAGATAAAGCCTAAGAAGATTGTTAAAGCACCAGTCAGTCAGGTCATTTGTTGTCAGTCCCGAGTCAGTCAGCGTCTTCCCCAGCCGGCTGGGTCCCCAAAAGGTACATGGTCTACTGTTCACTGCAGCATGGTCATCTTCTCTCCTTCTCTCTCAGGCTCACTCCTTTTTATCAGCTTCCAACTTCAACTTCCCAACAGCTGGACTCTGTTCGTCTTGACGTCTGTCGGGCCCTCCTTCTCACTCCATTCTGGGAACCCTCTACAGCCTTCCTGGAAACCAGGAAGCCTGACCTAATGTTCCTACCAAGATCCTCACAAAGGAACACAGAGTTTATCTCTGACCGTACTTAGGATTTAACTCGAAGTCTTGGAACTATGCCAATTAAGTTTCAACTATCCAAATTTTGCTCTGAGATGTACTTCGAAAACAGGCAACATCTTGGCCACTTACATAAGCCCATTGTCCAACTCACATGAACCCATAACCACTCAGCTCAAACAAGTACAAATAATAAAATAAGTACAAATAATGTCTATATGTGAACTACATACTGTTCTATTACATATTTCTTCTGGAATCTGGTTTATTTTTAACCACTACAACATGCAAACAGATGTGCCCAGCTCCACTATTACAGACTTGCAACACAGCAGCAGGCTAATGCTCAGCTCATACATCTGATGAAAAGAGTGCACAGTTTGTTATGAACCCATCTGGCCCTGATTGGTTGGCTGTTTTTCCAGCAGGGGAGCAGCCATCAGCGAGCACAACGCTTGGCCTGTTTGATAAAACTCTGAGATGTGGGCAGTAATTCACCGGTATGGAGGCAGGTTCTCCCAAAACCTGTATCTGCTGCTAAGGAGAAAGCACACAGCAGTCAGACAGATGAGGACTGATCCTTTCTTAGTGAGTCCGGGCTCAGGCTGACTTCTTCTCTGCTCCCCACTGTCAGAGCGCAGATTTGCCTTCTCGGTTCTGAGTCTGCCCGTTATTTCCCTGGCGTAAACACTGCAGACACACGCACCTGTAGTTCAGGTGTCTGTGTGACACGCAGCTTTATTGCTCTGTCTGATAAACACTCATCTTCTGTCTTGTGCTTTGCTGGGAACTGTGTCCATATTCTCCCTGCAGCTCTGCCTTCTATCTGCTTTATTGGTCATAAACTCATAAAGCTGTCTGGGCTTTATTCAGCACGATCGTGATCAGAACACAGTTTACTGCTCATACTCACGGAGGTGCTGTGGCTCTGGTTCACCTTATTGATCTACCTGCTCGGCATCTGTCTGGCTTTTTTTAACCTTGTCCTTTGTTTGTCTCCCTGTTGTAGATCTGTCAGAGAAGAAGAGCGACCTGAGGGTCTGCGATGACTCCACCTGTCGATTCGGAGGCGTCTGCAGAGATGACGGCGCTCAGCTCAAATGCGTCTGCCAGTTCCAGGTAGATGAGATTAGTTTTTCTAAGGCTTAAAGGATTAGACAAAAAACAAGGAGACCTTACCTCAGACCTTGGACTTACATAGCCTGGCATATTTAATGTTCCAGAGGATAAACGGGCAGAGGCTAAAGAACAGGCTGTAGTTCTCTGTCTCTGTATCCTGCTTCTTGTGAAAGTTTACATCTCTTCACACAAGTGAAGATGCCCTTTCAACGTGCTGTCTCTTTCACTGAGTCGGTGCTTTCAGTCAGCAGTGAGGAGCTCGTATCTGTGCTTGGTCTGTCACGGCCTCACAGAGCCACTGGCCTTAGTTTTGTTTGTTTAGGAGTTAAAACAAGACAATAACATGTCTAGGTTCATTCAGATACACCAGGAAACATGAGCTGCCTGCTGATATTTGAGAACAGTCCAATCATTCTGCAGTCAGGATGTTACGTTTGGAGCTTATTTAGCCGAACATGACAAAATAAACACAGCGGCAGCGTGAAGGGCAGCGTCTGAGTCAGATTTTCCACAGAGCTGCTCCTTTACTGCCGTAACAAGGCACACAGACTGTGTAAAACTGGCCGTCACACTCTGTGATGTGAAAGCAAAACCTGCATTTATCACTCGGGTCCACACAAACAGGATGGAGCACACTGAGCTGTTCAGCATAATGTGAGGAGAGCGAGGCGCAGCCCAGAGGAGCCTGCAGCACAGAATGGTAACTCACATTATAGCAGGAAACCATGAGGAGACAGACAGACCGGCAGCAGCGCCGTCCTCAAACCTCCCACCAGGAGACGGCGTCGTGCACGGTCATGTAACACAGGGCAACCTAAATGAAAGGAGGTTTGTTAAACCTTAAAGCTTAAAGCCCACCTCCAGAATCTCTGTTATAGTTCTGAAAACAAACCCATGTTGATTTTTCTCCGTCATGCCACCTCACACCGAGGCTGAACACTGGTGCAGTACACGAGGACATCACTGCGCTCCAGTGATATTTTCTTATTAAAAGTAATAATAAAAGCCGTACCATCCCCATTGCATTTTCAGCTACATGAGAGTAAACTGCAGCTGAGAGCAGTGAGTCGCAGTGAGGTCTGTTTACCACAGGGCTAAAAATAGCTGGAAACATATGAAAAGTTGAGTTTCTCTGCAGGAGTGTGTGTCAGTGTAGATGTATAGTAATGTAGATCAGTCAGTTTGTACGTTTCTGCCTGTGTGCTGCTTTATCTGGAGTTTTATCCAGCTTATTTCAGTGTCTGATGCCTGCTCCACCCGTTCATCTGCAGGCCAGGTGGATGCAGTCAGAATATCAAACACCCCCCTCCAGCTGGACCTATCACACCTTCTCTGCCATCACTCATTTAAAGGACTGACCTGTTACGTTTTAGTTTAAAGCACCCCTCTGTTCTGCTCGACCCAGCAGGGTCCATCTACTTCCTCATCATTAAAACTTTTCCGTTAGTTCCTCTAAACAGAAGAAGTTTCAGTCGCCACAGATGAACAAAGAAACTCCAACTTCTTCTTAAAGTGCTGAAAATGAGCTCTGTTCTCTGTCACTTTCACTTCAGCTCGTTGGACTCCTGTTTGCTCTTCACATCAAACACTGTGTGTTAGTTTGGGTTGTAAGGCTGACGTGCCAGACCTTCCTCTGCTCCGTGATCAAGATAATGGTTAATGGTTCTTATAGATCCACTAGTTTTAACTAGATGGTGAATCTGAAAGGAAGTTAAATAAAAGCTTCTGTTATTTGTCTGTAAAACTGGCGACGTTGTGATTTAGTTTCAGAACATTTAACACGCCACCAGAGGGGCAGCAGTGGGCCCTCTTCACAAACATGGACAAAGAACTAGAGGAATCTCCGTTCTCTTCTCACTGGGTTTAGAAAGATGCCATGTTTCTCTCTGACGTGACCCACTGAGGCAGCAGGTGTGATAAGTCCGGCCTCCTCTGCTTCCAGATAAGAAAAGGTTGACAAGTCACTTCCTGACATTTGAACTGATTATTAGAGCACAGCTGATTCAGGACGAGTAACAGGTTTCAGGGGAAACTGTGTGGAGATTAAATACCAGCTTGGGCGTTTTGGGAACTCTGCTCTGTTTGCAGATGTCCGGGACGTGCTTCGCCTAGCTTAGCAGGGGAAGCTGTTAGCCCAGCACACATGGTTTGTCTGAGCTGTGTTATTCACCAGCTGAAGTCTGCTGGGCTTAGTCAGAGAGACAGATCAAACCTGACAAACTCTCTCTGAGTCCAGGACCCTAGAGATTAACCACTGGCCCTGCACAGTCTCAGCACATCTCTGGTTGTAATGTGGATTTTATGAAGCAGCTCCTCAGTGCAGAAACACAGGAGTCCCCTGCAGACTTCAGTGACATTACACTGTTATGTCATGGTCATGTACAGGGCTGGTGTTTGATGCACTTTGCTGCATCTGAATCAGCATCTGTCCGATTATTAAGTCTGAATTATTTTGAAACCCCTGACTGAATCTCCTTAATTTCAGCTGTCGTCCTTTGTAACTAAAGATTCTGTTCAGATCTCAGACCGGTTGTTGTGGCACCAGCAGCCACCTAAAAATGTGAATCAGTGTGGCCTAATCAACGTTGACAACCTGAAAATGAGCCGAGCAGCACCGCATCTGAAATCCAGAGTATTGATTGATATTGATTGTTGTGATGCTCTGAAGTAACTGCTGTGACTTTCTGCCTGTGAGGGTCGTGTGCTACTCAGAAGCAGGACTCAACAACAGACAGGTAGAAAGCCGTGTCTACAGCTCTGGTCAGAGGTGACGGGTCGCTCAGCAGGACAGCAGGTGCAGGGAGGTCAGGGTGAGCACAATGAGGAAACTGACTACACAGCAGTGACTACAAAGACAGGGACAGCAGGCGCAGGGAGGTCAGGGTGAGCACAATGACTACACAGCAGTGACTACAAAGACACTGGGAGAGGGCAGGCATGCGCACCAGCGGGGGTAACGAGGCAATGAGTGTGTTGGTGGCGGGAACACGGGGGTAACTACAGGGCAAGTAGTTTCTGATTCACAACTCTGAGCTTAATGAGCTCCACATATTGATTTGATGCAGGAAGGCTGGGACTCTTCCGTTCTGATCATTTCTCTGGAGGAGAGCCTCCACTCTGCTGAAGTACAAGTCACAGAGACGCATGTCTGTTCACTAACAGTCGATCTTTGGTAGATGCTCGGAGATTAAAGCTTCACCGCAGCTGGTGGACGGTTAACAGTAATGAGCTACAGCTGATGTCGCTCATTTTAATGAGAGAAAGCAACGAGAAGCTGCTTCATTGGTCTTTGGTAAATAATAACCAGAGGGAGAAAGTTTGATAAGGGATGTGTGAGTGTCACAGCTTTATCAATGAAGTATTTTGCAGGCTGGGACCTGGATTCAAAATGGAACTGGCTGTCTGAGCCAAAGCCTGATCAGCTGCTACCAGGACTCAGACACAACCTGACGGCTGCTGAAGGGTTTCACGGGCTGCTTCAGCACCTCTCGGCTGACACCGTCTGTGGGAGAAATGGACCCTGCAGAGAACCAAACACATTATGAGCAGAGCACAGCCACAACTCTGCCTTTTGCCAAAACCCAGACACAGCACTATGACAGGATGATGCTTCGTTTCTTCAAGAAGAGACTCTCAGCTGGAGTTTGGGTGTGAAGGAGCCAACCCGCCAAAACTGAGCAGTGAAGCTGTGGATGGACGTCCTGCCGCTCACTCGCCAAGCTTGTGAACCCTGTCTGCTCCGAGGTCTGCATTTACTGACCGATCGCTGCTCAGTGGTTTGTCATAAAGCAGCTGCAGGCGTCACTGGAGGCTGTGCTGGCTGGCTGTAGACCAAGTCAGCTCTGCAGGGGGTTCCTGACTCATGATTGACGGCTGTGAATTAATAGAATACAGATTGCTGAAGTCTGGTATGTGTCCTCATTAGCTGAAGCTTGGATCTGACAGTCAAATTAGTTTGTGCAAAATTTCATACACAATGAATGGAAACTCCCAAGCTTCTCTAACAGCATCACATGGTTCATAACTAACTGCTTGTTTCTGATTCATCGATGACAAAGAAGTTGGCCTGAATAGAATCTAAACTCTAGTTGAGGAGGTTTCCAGAGCCAGATCAGGAAATAACAGTAACAAGACAAACTCTCACCCAGTGCCGACTTGACATTTAAGGGCTCACACACACATTTTGGCGAGTTCTCCATGTGTGAGGTCCAGAGCAGCTTTGATTCCACAGCTACAACCTGTCAGCGCTCGAAGTTTCTCTGCAGTGAAAAAGCTGCCGCTATGTCCAGTGAGCAGCATCACATTGTGACTTCATTAACATTTGACTGTGTTTGATTTCCAGTGCCACAAAAACTACATCCCCGTGTGCGGCTCGAACGGAGACACCTACCAGAATGAGTGCTACAGGCGCCAGGCATCCTGCAAACAGCAGAGGCTCATCTCCCGCGTCTCCGACGGCCCCTGCTCCGCCGGTGAGTCTGCCAGCAAACACACAGGGTCAGGTGATGGAAACCTGAAATAGCTCTGACCGAGAGTGGGCGGGTTCATCAGAAAAGTGAATCACAGCTCTTCATTTATTGGTATCGACCAGTGGAGTGTGTGAGGACACCAGTCAGTGTCTGTAAAGGTTTCACTCTTTTAAAATGTTTCTGTCGTTTGGGGAAATAATTCAGCCGCCGCCTCAGAGAGTGATGTAACTCCTCTTCATTTTGTTCCATCAGTCACATCTTGATGGCTGGTGCCAGCTTTGTCAGGTGGTGGAGGAGTAATTATGAAGTGAAGTTGTTGAGATAGAGGCTCTCTGTTGATCAACACTAATCACATGGCGTGCACGCCGAGTCAGGGGAGCCGAGGCACAGAAACATATCGTTCACCTGCTGGTAGATTTGAGAGATCTGTCTGTGAAAGTGGAGCCTGGCCGACGCAGACATTCGAACCAGATCAGATAAGGACGTATCAGTGCACACGCTCATGGATGAACAGAAGCAAACGACTTGATGAGGATCCTTCAAGGTTAATTACTGCAGAGTCTCAACTGGGATGAACAGGACGTGAGGCCTGTGAAAACTAAACTTGTTTTACTGTGAAAAACTTGAACGGCAGACGACGACACAGACACGTTACATTAGAGCTGTGATGCATGCTGTAGTGCACAGTAGCTTCAGAGAGACTCCGACCCTTTCACTTTCTGCTCATCAGTCCAACTAGTGATAGTAAAAACTGTGACTCCTGTCTTTAAACTGTGGCTGTTGTAGGCCTGTAAAAACAGGGCACGACACTTTGAAACCCCTCTTTGCCTTTGAGAACAAGTTTTATATAAAATAACTTGATGCTGAGCTGTTGCACGAGCAGCTTAGGGCTGAGATCAACTGATCGCTCTGTAACGTGACTGTAGCTGCCTCACACATCGTTTCATTCTACTGACAGGAGACGGTGCTGCAGCATTTCCATGGCACTTAATTTTACTGTCATTATATTTTTTTAATTGACTGAACACAAGGCACTGAGCCTCGATTTTTCCTCTGAACTGTGCCGAACGTCATCAGTCAGATTGATTTTGGAGAACGAGCCAGTTAATCAACCATGGATCAATTTTAATTAGGAGCTGTGAATGAGAACTGTTGCAATCCTCCTGAGCTGAGTGGTTCTCAAACTGGAGTCCGGGGACCCTCCAGAGGTCCTTCAGGGGGATTAGTCAGTTGTTGTTGTTTGGTGCTTGTCTTTCTCTCTGTTGCTGCTGGAGCACAGGAATTTCCCCATTGTGGGATTAATAGAGTTTTATCTTATCTTATCTGAATTCCATTCAGCGGCCCTCCAGTCCAGCAGAGACGCTCCCATGACTCATAAAGACAAACCTGTGATTTAATGACTCGGTCATCAGGAGCCAGGACCATCCTTGTTGAAGCCATTTTTGGACCGGGATCAGGATATAGTCTGACTTCTTTCTAGCCCAAACACCCCCTTGTTTGGAAACATCACATCACATATAGTAATATATGAATCACAAGGACAGGTTTGGAAACTTTTGATGATAATACTTGTACTTTTACTTCAGTGGCAGTTTGAATGCAGGAGTATTTGTACATTAATTTGTTGGTACGTTTCTACCACTAATGGGGGTTTAATGCCTCTTAACCAGCGGTGAACTGGTGCCAGCACCAGAAATTATGTTAAAAGTTGCACCGTGGTTGCAGACAGCAGCGGGCCGATCATGTCTGCCGCTGCAGCGCTGCATGTATGAGTAGAGCAGGGTCACGGGGAGGTGCTTGGGGCGCCGGCTAAGATGTCAGAGCCATCGCACTCGGATGCACCTCCGGGCCACTCAGGGCCTGTTTTCTCATCCCACTTTTGACAAATGGGGAACCTAGTCTGACCACAGCGGTGCTGGAGGTGGCGGTCAGCTCCATCTGCAGGGGCAGTGCCTGATTTCCCAGGAGGCACCGCTCAGCGCTCGGCTCTTATTACTCGTTACATTGGGGATCTGGCACTGTGATATGCCCTCCGCTTCCCTTGCCTCCCTCCTGTCCTTTGGTAATTTCCTCTCTCTCAGATTTATGCTTCCTATAATTGGAGCGTTCGGCGGCCGTGAGCCGAGGCGACGGTGCAGATACTCAGCAGTTTATTTCCCCGAGCAGGAGGAAATGTAGCGAGTTGGCTGCTTTCGCAGGGCAGGCTGTGATGGGAGGTAAGAAGGCTGAGCATCCACGCTGGGACCTGATCACAGGTCAGCGGAGGGTCTGGGCCCCCGCCACCAGCCTCAGGCCAGAGTTATCACTCTTTAAAACTTGTGTTTATTGGCCTATTGAATGAAGAGGAAGAGATGAGAGAGGCACGTATGGCCACGCGCAGCTGGATTAGAAGAGGGGGAAGTGACAATAAAAAGCTTCTCCGCTGTAACCTGGGGCTTCTCATAACCTGCTGAGACTCTGGAACAAAACCTCAGAACCAGGATGTTTCAGATTTACACCGACAGAGACTGAGTTGGGACCAGCTCTGAGGTTTTACACTGTTTGGGAGGCAAGTGAAGTAAGCAGCTGTGAGACAGACATTAATGTCAGGCATGGTGTTATTAATGCCTTTTTTAATATTTATGTGAATATGAGATAAGGGATTATTGCCAGCTGACAATCCTGGGGCTGCTGGAGCTGGAGCAAGCTGCTCAATGGCCCAAAATGGCACCCAGAGCACCCACCAGTACGCCCATATCAGATGATTTCTTACCTTGGCTACACTCGGATGCCACCGTTAAGCACTAAATGCAGTGTGTACTTCAGTGCTACGTGCACGTTCAGACTGAACGCCAGCCTGCACAAGCAATGCTGGAGTGTTGCTTCGGGTACAGGTGAGACATGAGATACAGCCCAGGCTGATCAACAGATCTGTGCATTTGAAAGTTGATCAGGTACAAAAACACTGTGCGGAGGATTGCAACAGTTTCAGACAGGATGCTGCGCCGCTGTCAGGCGCTTAGTTTACACAGTATGTCATGGCAGCATTTACAGTGTAAACAGTATTTACAGACAACTAACCTGCAGCAGCGTCTCCGTGTGTGTGTGTGTGTGTGTGTGTGTGTGTTCATAGTGAACCTACCAGTAACGTGATCGCTGTCTTCCCTAGCTAGATTCCCCCTGGATGTGTACACAGGTGACCAGGGTTCTAATAGACTAGTCAGACTTTATTCATCTAAAGCAGCATGACAAAAGGCTTGTGCATGGCAAACGACTGCAGACAGGAAGTGTTACTGGAGCAGAGGCTTTAAAGGAATGGGGCATTTATACGTGTAAACTAATTCCAACCAAAATGTCAAAGTAATTCCACCACTTGTTGAGCTCAGATACATTTGCTCCTCCCACTGCGCGGCCAGGCCACAGTTCCCATCAACAAAAGGCACACTTGTCCAGGCCGGAGGAACTTCCTGTTGTTCAGACATTCCCAGAGGCTGAATCCTTAATAAGTGGAGTTTGAGTTGGGATTGTTGTGTCACATCGTTCCACTTATGACTCTAACAGACAGTTTTGGTGTTGCAGGTCAAGAGTGAACGTTTGGCCTCAAGTTGAACACATTTTCAGTCTGAAATTGGTGTGAAATGACCCTTTAAATGAACATCGCTGCAGCAAAACAAAATTCCAAGTGATTGTTGTGCCATTGTGTCTTTCTGTATTATTTCTGAAAAACATTCCAGAGAGACCATCTGTTTCCAGCCCTGAACTGAACAGAAAATTGCGCATGGAACTGGGCTACGGATGACCTTTGTGTCTGCTTTTGGGAAAACATTTTTAAAAGGGTCCAGTTTGTTGTAATAAGTGAAATTGTCACCCCTGGCTCAGTTCATCACTGTCAAGATCCACACAAGACAGAAAGAGCCTGAGAAAGAAGTGGCTCATAGTTTCACATCAGAAAGAGCAGCTGCCTTGTTAGACACAGGGTCGGCCATTTTGAATCTCCTCAGCAGGTTAACCACCTGTTTTGAGGATTTGATCCAGATTTTCTGATCCAGTTTGATATCAGGGTGATCCCAATCCTGTTTTTTGAACATCCCAAAACCCAACTCTGATCCACTTGGACAGGGATTAGAGGCCCAGGACATTCCACCTGTTTCAGAGTCGTATCGTTGATTAAAACAAGTAAAGTAGTTTCAGTCTTTTCACTTAAACATTCGACTTCAATAATTTTCTCATTAGTACAAGGCCATTATCCGCCCCCAGGAGGAGCTCTGTCTTTGTGTGAGGCCGAAGCAGAGTTTCACCTGCTGTTTGAAACCAAACTCTTTATATTTAGTCGATATCATCCTGACAGAATCATTAATATCTCCACTCACTCGTGGACCATTTCTGCTTCCTGTGGCATGAAAAACCATCTCATTCTGACTCTGTAAAGACGTGCAGCAGCTAAAAGTGAAATGTAACTGCACAAAGCAGCTGGTGTCCGTTTCTTAATGCAGCAAAAGCAACGTGCCAGAAACTCCAGGCGCAGCAGCCGTTCTTACCAGACCAAGGTGTGCACTGCAGAGCTAAGCCGGCTGCAGCGCACACTTACATCATCCTACATGTATGTGTCTGTTCCTCATGCCATGAAAGATTCAGCATCAAGTCCATCACGTCAGTCGGATACATGTATTATTCACTGATGACTGGTGGTGTGTGGACTGTCCAGGAATATTCCATCCTTCCCTTTCTTGAGATGAGATGTGGTTTGTGTGCTGCTGCTGTTTTTACAGTTCTGTTTGTGTGCAGCTTTAAAACTAATGAGCATGCATGCAGGAATCTGCCCCGGATGTGTGCATGCGTGCAACACATCCGGGCAGCATCACCTTGTCTATCGTTAAATCTGAAACCTGTTTGGAAGCAAAGAGGAGATTTAGACGTGCAGCAGCTGCATCATGTTTCAGGTCCCGTCTGTCATCTGGGGTTGTTCACCTCCACGGGGTCAGAGCAGTGTAGCAAACAAAACAGAAACCTGGATTTACAGGAGGGACAGAGAAACTGCAGCCTCGCTCTCACTGCTCAGCACTGTAGCTTTTTCCACCCCTTTGTGGTTGGTTTTAGAACACGTAATGTGGAGACTTGTTGTTTTCTACATCATCAGTTGTGTTTACTAGTCACCCTGAATGTGTATCTGAGGTGAAGGCACCCACTCATGCCTTGATACCGAAGCCGAAAAAACAGAAATACTGTGTGTTTATTCTAATTTACCATAGTTTTAAACACAACAGAGAAATGTGCACAGAACGGAGCCTGTTGAAAGAATTCATGAGCAATCGTTTCATAAGGTTAAGTGATGCTCCGCTGTGCTGCAGCCCACACAGCGCCGCCGTCTCCCATGCAGTGAGAAAGGACATTTATCACTGAGCTTTACAGATGTCCTGTAAGTAGGTGTGTTTCTGAACTTTGAGCCTTTCCCCTGTTATGCTAAGCTAGGCTACCTGTGTCCTGCATTCAGGTCTGCAGCTGACAGCCAGACATGAGGTTGCCCTGGATTCCCTGACTGACTGTGCTGCCTGCTCCTCGCAGCAGGCTGCCAACACACAGGCCAGTCTTCAACAAGGGAAAGTAGTTTTTGCAGTTAGTTTGAAACAAAGTACAACTAAGTGGAACCAGCCACAGGTAAAGATGCTGCAGATGACCTCGCCAGCAGACGTGAATCAGACTTCTTTAGAGCAGCGTCACAAAGTGCCACAGGGAGAAGAGGAACGTGTGCAATTATCATCTGAGCCCTTGACAGGTGTTTAATAATCACCATAAACATCACTGACGGTTGTCGTGTCTCTTGTGTCTTCACAGATCCTGGATCGGGTTCAGGAGACGGAGACGGTGAGTGTGGTTTTGTTTTTGGTAAACGTTTCATTTCCTGCCTGTGAAAGTCTAACACAAATCGATTACAGTTGAGTCTTTATCTGCCCTCCACAAACATTAACCATTGTGAGTCTGTGCTGATCGCTGCCAGGCTGTGTGTCCTTCTTTGTCTCTGCCCCCACTCTTTGAATATTAACTTCTAATCAGAGCTGTGTGGAGGGTTTCGTTCTCGGCGTTAAGTCCTCCCGATGAACCGGTATTTTCTGTCTCATGGGAGTCGAGCTGAAATCCTCACTGTTGCCAGATTTAGCAACAGAGACATTTTGCCACCATCTGTGATCACTAACCACAGTGCTGGTCGTTTCAGACTCCTGCTGGGGGGTTTAATTGGAGGTGGTCTCCAGAGAGACCGCCAACGTGTGCCTCACGCACCCTCATTTTTCAGCACAGATGTAGCGAAGTCCCATCTCTTCACCCGGGCACAAACGTCACTCCTCTTCCTGTTAAGGAACCTGGTGGTAGTACAGTCCAGCTTGGCACGGTGGAAGGTGGTGAAGTCAAAGTCAAGCCAGCTAAAAAGATCAACTCACTCGATCGTAACTGTTCCAACTCTTTACCAGCTACAGCTCGACAGTGACCTCAGGATTTTGCATGTTCATGAAAAAACACATTCCAGCATCACGTTGGAGGATGCTGAACAAATGAAAAGGAGGCGACGCTGATCCACCGGAGGCCTGAATGTTTGGACGGCTCAGCGGCTCTCTGCCTCCATCCTGGGCTGTCACTCTGATCTTTAACCTTTTCAGTCGACATCTAATTAGCCTTCTCCTGCCTCCATAATGTGAGCTCTGTGTGTGTGGTCTCTGCGTTGATCCTCACCGTTCTCTCCGTGTAAACTAAGCTGCTCTGCCCTGGCGTTGCTCAGGCGTCACCCTGTGAATCAGCTCTGAACACTCCTAAGCTGCTCACCCTGTGAATCAGCTCTGAACACTCGTTGTCGTGTGCTGCTGTTATCTTTGAATAATGAAATGAAGACGCTTTTCCCAGCTGAGGGTGAGGTCCTGTTGAAGTGCTGCGAGGATGTAGACTGACGGGATAAACGCTGTGGAAGCTTTTCTCCCCAGCGTTGTTTTGAGGCAGGACACAAATAAAACATCAGGCACACGTATGCTGGGTGTGGTGCCTCAGTATTTGCTTTTTTAGACACGGGCCCTGTTAGTTTGTGGTAACGTCTCTGTCAGTTTCCATCCTGGAGACTTTGTTCCCCACTCCATGTCTCTGACTGGTCAGACTGGAGTTGCTGGTTGTAGATTCCCTCATAAAGAAGCTCATTGTGTGGGATGATGATTTAGTGTTTATGTCTATAGCATGACTTCACCAGTGTTGAGCAGGGGTCAGAGCTGTGCTGAAGCTGCATGTGAGTGCGTGTTTCAGTGTGTGGCGGCATGTGGCCACCCGGGGCGCGAACACAGGTAGCTCCCCTCTCTCTCCCCTGTGATCGAGAAATGTGGTCAGAGGTTGGAAACTGGACCCTTTTCATAACTTGCTTGCAAAAAGCTGGAGACGTGCATCGTGGCTGCCTCATGTATCCTGCCTTCTTGGGAGCGTTGGTTGTGCACGTCCCAGAAAATGATGCTCGTGTCCGTGAGATGTAATCCAGCACATTTGTGGTGAAGGCAGGAGGTCCGGTCAGTGGCGGTGTGGACAGACAGAAACTCCCAGAGCTTGTCTGACTGAGACGCCATCTGTGATGTCGAAGCTGCCACACAACCTCCTCTCCTGGAAGCAGGACAGACTACACCACCACGCAGGAAGCAGAGCCTGTGGGCGGAGTCTGTGTGAAGCAGCAGCGTCCTGCTGTCAAACAGAAACAAAGAGCTGCTCTGCTATAGATCCTTGTCCATCGATCGGCAGCCTCCGAGGCCCGACTGAGCTCTCCATGTTCAATACATGCACACACAGCAGGCCGATCTGTCAGCCAGCAGGCACGCACACACACACACACACACACACACACACACACCCACCAGCATCCATCCTCTGAAATAATGTTGCTGCTCTTAAACTCGTATTATTCTTAAAGTAAGTGAGAAGGAATCTGCTCCAGAGTGAGACCTCTCCTCTGAGCTCTGTGTGTCTAAAGGGGGTGGACACAATAACAAGAACATGTGCTAAAGCCCAGTTTGTGGTTCTGAGTCCTTCTTTATTTCTGTTTTGGTGACTTCCTACTTTTGCTCCACTACATTTGCCTGAAGCCTGAAGCCACTGGTTGTTTCCTCAGACTTGACCTTCAGCCCTAGAGGCTGTACATCTGACTGTTGTTGGCTTGAAATCATGTTTAAACTCCCCAACACAGACGCTCGGTCTTAGAGATGGTGACCACTCCCACAAGGCTTTCTTTGAATAACACACAGGAGACACAGATTTAGACTTCACTTTACTGTTTACCAGCTGAAATGAGATTTAGTAAATCACTACTTCAAAGTTTAGCAAAGATCTGACACAAACTTGATGATGGTTTCAGGAACAGATGGTGCAGGACACTCCTGCGCCCTCAGCAGAGTTAATCCACCTTGTGTGGCCTCCTGCACCTCTGGTTGTTTTGCTGGTGTTGTATCTATGTCCCTTTTGACAAGACATTATTAGCCTGAGGTGGAAGCAGCTCGTGTGACCTCCCCCTTTTACATGAACCAAACTTGAAAACAGGATTTACTGACTTCGGGTACAGGTCTTTGCAGCACGCAGGCCGGTCGTTAGACTTCCTCTCGGTTGCTGTGGATTGATTTGAATGCCCGTGATAGCTCCAAGCTCGTCCTCTCTTACATGGCAAAATGACACTGGATGAATCATGAGAATGGCTCCTGGATGAAAGGCAGCTGTGGATAAGCCCTGCGGCTCTCAGATATTTGATGTTTCAGTTGTCGCAGAACTCGTTCTCTGCTGGAAAATGGACGCCGTCATGCGAGATGACATTAAACGCATCCCCTGTATTGACGATAATAATAATAATATGATGCGATGATAATGCGGGGCTCTGATTCCATTTAGCCGATGAGCTCCAGGAGTCTCGTCACACACTCAGCTGTGTTTGATAGAAAAGCGTGTCAGCCGTGTCGTGTGTTGACGTGCATCACCCAAACAGGAACTGAGCTGTGGGTGGTGGTGGAGATGAAATCAAGGCACTGTTGTAGAGAGAAGTGCAAAAATAATCAGAATAAAAGATGATCATGTTGCTCAGGGATGAAAAACATAAAGGTCCCACAGTTGGTGAAGTAGAGACACAGGAGCCAGGAGAGAGAGATCACAGCGAAATCAGCTGCAACACACAAAGTGTCACGGATGAACTGTTACACATTCTCATTTTGTCTCTGGAGAAGCATCAGAGCTCCAGAATCCTGCTCAGATCTGCTGCTTAATATGGAGTCTTGTGTCAGTGCTTTTAACAGTGTCAGTGTCTGATGTACACTGACTGGCCACTTTATTAGGGACACCTGTACCACTGTACGCAATTCAGTGCAACATTACCACCTTAACATCTGTGTTTATGAAGCTCAGCATGTTTTAGTGAAACTGTCATAAATGTATAAAAATATACATATATTAGCTGGGGAGGACAAAAATTTAGAGACACGTCTGAATATAATACAGTCCAGTACAACGCCACCTTTAACTACAACCTCAGTAATAAACATTAAATTTACACATTTCATCAAAACTGAAAAATGTTGAGCTTCATAAACACAGATGTAAAGGTGGAAGTGCTGCACTGAAGTATGTACAGTGGTACAGGTGTCCCTAATAAAGTGGCCAGTGAGGGTATTTCCCCAGCTTTTGATTCCACACACGTCTTTCTACAGTTAAACACACTGTGGCTTGTAGACATTTTCCTTCCAAACCACCTTCTGTGAATCATTAGTTCCTTCATCATCACACTTTTGCAAATGTACAGTGGGTACGGAAAGTATTCAGACCCCCTTAAATTTTCCACTCTGTTATATTGCAGCCATATGCTAAAATCATTTAAGTTCATTTTTTCCTCATTAATGTACACACAGCACCCCATATTGACAGAAAACACAGAATTAGACATTTTTGCAGATTTATTAAAAAAGAAAAACTGAAATATCACATGGTCATAAGTATTCAGACCCTTTGCTGTGACACACATATATTTAACTTAGGTGCTGTCCATTTCTTCTGATCATCCCTGAGATGGTTCTACACCTTCATTTGAGTCCAGCTGTGTTTGATTATACTGATTGGACGTGATTAGGAAAGCCACACACCTGTCTATATAAGACCCTACAGCTCACAGTGCATGTCAGAGCAAATGAGAATCATGAAGTCAAAGGAACTGCCTGAAGAGCTCAGAGATAGAATTGTGGCAAGGCACAGATCTGGCAAAGGTTACAAAAAAATTTCTGCTGCACTTAAGGTTCCTAAGAGCACAGTGACCTCCATAATCCTTAAATGGAAGACGTTGGGGACGACCAGAACCCTTCCTAGAGCTGATCGTCCGGCCAAACTGAGCTATCGGGGGAGAAGAGCCTTGGTGAGAGAAGTACAGAAGAACCCAAAGATGACTGTGACTGAGCTCCAGAGATGCAGTC